GTCGTCTGCCGCGGCGTAGGTATTGATAATAGCGATTGCTCTGCCACTCCCCATGCCCCTATGGCAAAACCACCTACACTGCCTCCAAGACATGTGCCCGACAGCAAATATCGTTGACGGTATGCAAGAGAGAGAGAGAGAGAAAGGCGGAGGTGGTGACCAAGACTTTACCCAAATGACAACCACCGCGGGCGGTGCATATTAACGCTTACCTGACAAATGTTCACCGCGAAAGAAAACGTTTCCCTAACGAGGCCGCTGGGAGGCATTCCGCACGCAAGCAGAGCGGTGGACGGGGCCCCGCCGTTTCCTGCCCCCCCCCCCCCGCCGCCGCCGCCGCCCCCCGCTGCCGCTGATCCCGCGGCGAGGGCGTTCAGGGTTCCTCGTGGCGCCTGCGCCTCTGAGTCGCACATGCTGCTCAAGACGTGTAGGGCTCCCTTGCACAGCAGACACGCCTAGAAATAGGATGACGGTGGGTGGGCGGAATACGTTCATTAATGCGCGGTCGATTCTTGCCCAAGCACTCTCGCGCCATAAAACACCCCACGCACTATATCAACTATTTAACCACGTCTTGTTGTCGGACACACTATTATACGTAGCACACCTCTTCCATGGGAAAAACTAACCAACACAGCAGTCGTGGGTCCGATTCTAAGAGTGTGGGGAGGGCCGTTGTCACACCACCCTCTTGTATCGGAGCCACGACCACAAGCATACAACACCACCTCTTCCATCGGACAAAACCAAGCACGCCTGTACCAGTTCCGTGGGAAAAACAAACCGGTAACCAATAAGCTATAGCACCTAACCCTAACCCTAACCCTAACCCTAACTCTGACCCTAACCCTAACCCTAACTATGACCCTAACCCTAACCCTAACCCTGACCCTAACCCTAACCCTAACCCTAACCCAAACCCTAACCCTAACTCTGACCCTAACCCTAACCCTAACCCTAACTCTGACCCTAACCCTAACCCTAACCTCTTCGGTCGGAAACCGTTCCGCCAGCAAGGCCGACGCCTGCACCCCGAAGGCCCTCGCCTCCCAAGACTGCTGACCCATCACGTCCCCGAGGTGCCGGGTCGTCCCACGGGAAGCAGGGACCTGGGTTTTCCCGGACATAGAGGAAGAGGCATTTGTCCGGCCGGAAGTGCGTGACATTTCTCGCAGGCGCAGGTGGCAAATGTCATCGAGAGGCACGGCTAAGGAAGACTGTCGATCAAACACAAAGTGCACGGCTCGGTTCATGTTTTCTTTCCTCCGTGGGGCAGGCACGCAGGCACCCAACCGAAACTGCAAACGTTTTACTGGAGAGCGGGGGGCTCAAAGTCCTCGAAATTTACAACAACAGCAACAACAACAACACAACAACAAATCCCCTTCGCTTTTTCACACTACAGTACTACCGATTGCCAATGAGGTGATAGTGGCCGGTTCTGAAGTTTGTTCGAAAAAGAAGCGCACAAAACGTACACGTGCCGCACGGCGGGCGGTACGGCACGAGTGCAATGGAATGGGATCGAAGTAGCTCACCCCATCGAGAAGGAGCTTGAAAGCTTCCGTCGGCAGGGTCTGTCGGAGCAGGAGGTGCAGCAGGGGCGGGCACTCGGAGAGGAGGGTCTGCAGGAACTCGCAAACCAGCTTGCGGCACTGCGGGATACCGTGCCCCACACGGGAAGAACCAAAGCAGGAGCAGTAGCAGCAGTTGCAGCACCAGCAGCACCAAGCAGTTAAAGCAGCAGCAGTAGCAGCAGCAGAACAACACCGCCCGCGATTACGTACAGACGAGGGACGGAGGAGCGAGCGAGGGAGGGAGCGAGGGAGGGAGGGAGGGAGCAGAAAAACTTTACATCCGTCCGTGGCGCCCTTTGATGATTGTCCGCACGAGGACCGCAGACCAACACAAGACGGGTACTCACCAGCACCAGAAGGGTGCCCCAACCAGCACAGCAACGGAAGCACCCACAACACACAATATGCGAGCACGATACTAAGCAAAAAACAGAGACCGGCCCCTGCGCAACTCCCAGAGTCTTATTTGCCCCCCCCCCCCCGCCGGTTTTCCAAACCGCACGTATCCCTTTCCTGCTAAAAACTACTGGAGTATTGTCTATGCCGGAGACGCCTTCCCACCAGAGACTTGTCACCTGCGCCCGAGTGGCGATGCCGTCGCCGAAAACGACAACGCCTCCTTCCCTTTCTTCCTTCGCAGACCCCCCGCCGGACACCCCTGCTCCGCCTAGCGCGACTACAAGCAGGCACCGCGCCACGATTGCCTGCTGCACGAGAGACATCATGCGGCCTAGCGGAGGGAGGGGGGCACCGGGGAGTGCGGCGAGGGGGGGGAGGGTAACGGGGGAGTAATCATGTTTTTGCATGCCTTAGTCGATAGACCATTGACCGCGCGTCCCCGAAAGGACGGCGCATCGTTCCCACAGGACCGGTCGCCGACGGCCAATCGTTCCTTCCCACTGCTGTGCCAAAGGTGGCTAAAAAAAAGTGTTCCCTGCCCCCATCTATCCTATAGACACCACTTCCCGCCTTTCCAGCCCGCGTCCTATGCCCCAGCAGTACACCAAGCCATCGCCTAGCGATCACCGCCGCGAGCAGCAACGACGACAAGAAACAACGAAGCAGCCGCAGCACCAGCAACAACTCTTCACACCGTCAACGGTCGCGGTGCCCTCCTCGACGTCCTCCCAGGCAGGCGGCGGCGGGGGCGGCGGGGGCGGGGGCGGGCCTCCGGCGGCGGCCGCGCTAGCAGCCGCCGCCGCAGCAGCAGCTGTGGCCGCCGCCGCTGCCGCTGCCGCGGCTTCGGAAGCGGCCTTGTCGTTCCTGCGGCGGGCGGAGGCACACACCATCTCCCAGCGACTCTGCAGACGGAAAGAAGAATGTACAGCAGTACAGGCTGAAAAATAAAGCCCACGTATCCAGCAGGTGGTCAACCCATTCACTGAAAAGACTTGAAACCCAGCCCCCTGGATTAGTGCTGTTGCTGTGGTTATATCTCGAACGGACAGTCCTTCTTTGACTGGATGTACATTCCTAAAAAAAAAAAAAACAGGTTGTTGAGGCACCATGTCATTGTGTGGTGTCGTGCTATTTAGTTGTGCACCGAACTCCTCGATAAAAGAGGGGCCAGTGTCCCGTACGGTTTCGGCATCCTTGTGTGGTGCTCACAAGTGCTTTGCTAGCTGTGCACCGCCCACCATCAGAGGCACACAACTCGTGCTCCATTGCACTCAAACACGACCGCGTGTGCCGAGAGTATCGTACCCCCCCCCCCCCCGTTCGCCCTCACGTTTTTCGCAAGTACAGCCTGGTCAATCGTGCGTTCCGAGGCAAGCAGCAACGACCGCAGCACCCGCAGCAGGATTCGCAGAAGGTACGGGCAGGAGAGGGCCTGGGGGTAGAAGAACAGTGGCGGGGCCCACGACACGCGGGAAGGGAACGCGAAACACAACAACAGATAAGAGACCAGACGGTCGTTAAAACGAACAATGAGGGTCTCGTTGTTGTTTCTTCCCCCCTGACAATGCCTCTTAGCCTGGGCCGGCGAAAACCCGGCATACACATCGCTCCTCCGTCCCGGCATTGTAGGGATGCGAGGGTCAACGATCTACCGACGTCGGCATGCGTTTACATGAGTACACGCCCCCATGACAATGCGCTTCCAAAGGCTGGAGTGGCAGATGACCACACGGCCCAGTCGAGGCCAGATGATACACCCGTGCTCCACACGACAGCTTCGAGCCCCAACAAACGTGTTCTGCCGGTGACGGGGCGCGTACTCTCATGTTATGTTTTGCATGTCTTAGTTATTAGGCCATTGACCTCGAGAGGACGGAGCATTGCTCCCACAGGACCGATCACCGATGGTCCAACCGTCCCTTCCGACGTCGCCAACGGTAACTGTGGCGGTCTGCCAGGTGGCGGTCTGCCAGAAAAGTGTGTGTGTGTGTGTGTATGTACTCATGCTCATAGTCGTGCATGGCGTAGTCGTTGGACCATTGCCCTCGCATCCCTACATAGCCGGGACGGAGCACGCCGGGTTCTCGCAGGACATCACCAAGCGCGAAGCGCGCCGTGAGGTATTCGGCGAGTCGCTTGAAGGGTGCGGGTGGTAGTTTTGCAACCGTCCTCTCGACAATTTTTCAACGGCCTCATTCGTGAGGGCCGAGAACCAACCACCACGGCCGCGACAACGATCGGTGCCGTGGTGAGACAGACCAAAGGGACGCGGGAGTTGGGTGGAGGCTTTTTCTCACCTCCCCTCTGCACCGGAACACCAGCACCGGCTCTCGGCACATTGTCTCGTAGGTGACGGCCCTGTTAACAATCGAGCGATTTAGGCGGCGGGAGCAAGGGAAGGCGGAGAAGGAGAGACAGTCAGACAGAGAGAGAGAGAGAGACAGAGAGAGACAGAGAGAGAGAGAGAGAGAGAGAGAGTTTGTTGAACGTCGTCCCATGTCGTGAAAGCCATGTGGAGTCACCAGAGGCGAATAAATAACGAGTCAAAATATGAGGTAGACGGCGACAGACAGACAGATAGACAGACAGACAAAGACAGAGACAGACAGACAGATGGGCCGACAGAGAGAAACAGAGATGCAGGCGGAGAGAGATACGCAAAGCCTAGGAATTAGGGCGAGGACAACGACTTCATCGTCGTCATGTTTCCACCACCACCATCACCCGTCTCTTTCATTCCATCGTCATCGCCAAAACTGCCTACAGCGCCTCGTTAGCCACGACCCTCACGGTCAAGCAGCGTGGAAATAAAACACGTAAAATGTGACCAAATACTATCAACAAACAGACCGCACACTACGCGGCGTCCAACGGGCGGTCGCAGTTGCAGCAGATTTGTATCATGCATACTGCTGCAGGGTAGATGCCTGCTGTCCCTGTGCCCTGGACACTTGGCTTCTTGTTGGCTGACCCCCCTCCAGCGGCTTACGTCCGCTGGACACAGGGGCATTCTGGTGCCTGTACGCATGCCACCAACACCACCGACACCCACCGTCACCTGGGCAAGGGCGCCTCGGCATCGGTCTGCAGGAGGGCGTTCAGGGTCCACGTCTCCATCGCCTGCCCGTGGGGGTGCGCGTCGTACAGCCGCATCCACACGTTGCAGCATAGGGATGCCACGCTAGACCGCCTCGGGAAGTCCGGCCCAGCAACCTGATCGTTCGTAGGTGGGGGTTGCGGTGGCATTAGCAACTTGGGGGGGGGCGGGGGGGGCGGAGAGTGTACTCATGCAAACGCATGCCGTAGTCGTTGGACCATTGACCTCGCACCCCTACAACGCCGGGATGTGGAGGTGGGGGTTGCGTGGGAATAGCCATGAGGGGCGAGGTAGGGCGGGGGAAAGGACTGACGGTGCCACCCCCCCCCCCCCCCCCC